AAAGATTGCTCAGATCTCTGGCTAACGATTGGTCGACCTAGAAAAGATTTAGAGAATAAACAGAAGTTTTAAATATTTAATAATGATCTAACCTGAGGCCCAAGCCTCACTGCAAGAAGACAGAGAAGATGGAGGTTTGTTTAAGATTAGGACTTTAATGGGATGGAGCTCAGCAGCTGGACACACCAACACTGCTCTGCAAATCCTGATATTCCTCATATTTATCCTAAAAAACACCCAAACATCAATTTGTCTTGGGGTTTGCAGTTTCATTTTGTCTTGTGTGAGAGATCAGTGATTGTAATCAGTCAAAACATGAAGCTTTAAAACACCAAACTGCTGAGATGAACCTGTTAAAACTAACATGTGAATTATGCAGGCTGTGACCTGAAGAAGCAGCTGAATGTTTTGGAAGATCGCCGCTGAGTGAAAACACATCAGGGGGATAGTAGGAGTCTCCAAAGCAGACATGTTCAGCAACACGTCGGTGGCGGTTTGAGACAGAAAGAAAACGAGCCGATTTGTCAGGGTTTGATGAAGGAGAGCAGGTGAGAATAAACGGAAATCCATTCCAAGCACAGACCAAACGTCTCTGCTTGTTTGACGGTGAACCTTTAACCTGCGTGTGCACATCAGTGAAGGAAGAATGACAAACAAACCATGATTTGGCATTGAAATGTGACGCCATGAAAGAAAGGAAACAGTCCACATTTAATCCAAACGAAGCAGATGCGGTGAACACGAGGTCACTGGCTGGGTCAGAGCAGGCAGAACCACAGCCCAATCCAGTTTGGTCATGTCTCAATTTGGCAAATTCAAACTTTCTGTAGCAACCTTGGAAACCAAGAGAGGTTGAGCTTCTAGTCTACCGGGTATACTGCGATATGAAAAAGTCACGGTTTCCAGCGATATCTGATTTTTTTTTTCTGATCAGAGATTCCTCTGTTTAGCTGCTAGGATTGAAAGTTCTACGATGGCTATTTACCCCGGACTCCCAGTCGCCCCGTCTAAAGAAATGAAGTCTGTGACGTGGGAATACTTTGGCTAGAGGGAGAAGACAGACGGCAGCTTAGAGGAATAACGGTGTTCTATGTGCAAAACGTGTTTACGGACAGCAGCAACCAGAGGAGGCGACAGGAGCGCCATCCATCACTATTTGCTGAATTCAAAGTAAAATAACATTGATGCTGTCTGCAGAGCTAAACACTCTATAAGTGTTTAGGAGTCGTTTGATTGTTCCACTGGAAAAGTTTAAGTGAAAGCAACCAAGAGTCTACGTAGCTTTACCATACATTTTTGGACAGCAGTATTTTGTTGTACAGAAATTTACATTCTATTCTATATTTCATTCTTACTTATGTGGAGCTTATTGTGCGTTTTCTGTATGCCCTGCTGCACAGTAGTTTCCCAATTCTGGGATCAATAAAATACATCTTATATTAATTAATAGGTGCTTCTGCTACATTTTATTTACTTATTTTGAGTCCAAGATATAAAAAAAGTAAAATGAATAAAAGCAATAGGAATATTTGTTGCTTTTCTGTTCAAATGATACAGAAAAAAAATATATATAAAAAGCAACATGTTTGTGGTAAAAGATTATTTTTTTACAACTGGTCACAGGCATCAGACTTCAGGACACATGGCTTTAAACTTCATCCTGAATTCAGGTTGAAATTTACAAACAGTACATTTATGAAGTAGAACCTTAAAATAAGAGCCATTTCTGTCCATATTTGTTGTAAATAAATTAGCTTAAATACAAAGAAAATAGACCAAACCATTTTTTTTGGCTCATTAAGGGTATAATGAACCAATAGTCATGAAAACAGCAACTGCTGATCCTCTGCAACTCCAAAAGAACACGTTGTCTCTCATCTTGTGGACTCAGTCCCTAGAGTCCCCCAGAGGCCTCGGGGTTCCACTCAGAAACAGCCCACACACTCCTCCTGACGCCGCCCGCCTCAGTAGTAGGTGCACCAGTTGCTGTTGTCACTGGGCATCAGACCGCCGGTGATGAGCAAGATCAGGTCCACGAACCACCAGATTCCCAAGCCTCCCAGGGTGAGCAGCTTCCCCACAGCCGTGCCCGTGTGGCCCAGACAGAAGCGGTCGACGCCGAAGCAGCCCAGGAAGAAGGAGTACAGTAGCGTGGTGATAAAATAGTGTCCCGTGTATCTGTGGAGGAAGCAGAAGATGATTTAACAGCAGTGAAATGATGTTTGTTTCATAGGTTAACATGCTGTGGCAGTGCAACAACCTACGGTAGTTCCAAAAGTGAGCAGACAGTGCCCTCTAGTGGGGAAGTATATAAGGCGTGTTTAGCCTGTGTTCCATCGACAGCCGCAGTTTGTTGCACTTAACCTCCTAACTGAGCCATGATCACCACGGTAACCACAAGAACAAATCAGGACATAATCAAAGGAAAAGAGAGGAGACCAGCTCTGAATCCTCCAACACATGCTTCATGATGGGTGCTGCAATGAAAGCGAGGGAACAGCGTGGAAGCTGGAGTGTGTTCATCCAGATGAGAGTCAGCCTCAACTCCATGGATAAATACTGACAGGCCTGAAGGACTCTGGCGGACTGAACAAGCCGTGGTTTAGTTGTCAAAATCCAGGTGAACTTCAGGGTCTGACTGGCCTCACTATGGGACTGCTGGTATTGGGCTTTTTCTAAGCAATTCCAGCAACTCTCATTTTTATAATGCAGGAAGTTAGAGATGGGGTTAACTAGACAAACCTCTGTTGCAACCTTGGGCATACAACTACGTGTGTTTTATTGCCGTTAACATTGTCAACAATATCAACAAACCATCGTAACAACGCTTGGATACATTATTCTCCATAACAACACTTTACACCAAACTCCCCAACAGAGCAGGAGCTTCCCTGTCTGGAGGGAAGTTAACCAGAACATCAGTGCTGAGCCGCCTGGGTCGCCTCTTACTTGATGCAAGGCACGTCGCCTCGGGAGAACTCCCGGGGTCCGGCACATTCGATGTCGTCCAGGGCGGTGCACATGACCTTGGTGTGGTTCACTTCCTCCTTAGTCTGCCCACCCCACTGAAGAAGAGCACAAGTGGAGATGAACTGAGGGTTTAACGACAGAGACGCTTTCAGAGGACAGTACTGACCCCAACGCAGCCGTGTTCCAACTCCTGGTGGGCGCTGTAGTTTCCTGCATGGTCCACCGGATCCTGGCAGTAGATGAACTCCTCAGGCCTTCAGCACAGGCAGGACGTTAAAGAACAACCAAGAAGGAGGAACGATTACACAACACAGAGAGGCAGCGATTCTTTTAGCAAGACAATGTAGTATGAGAGCATTAAACCATCTGCTCCTTTGCTACTTGAGATTTTGAGATCCTGATCGGCTGCTTCTGGTTGTAGAATCAACCTTATTACCACAGCTAGACTGTCCAAAAGGAGTTCATAAAAGCAAAATCCTTCCAGAACCAGGGACTAGTGGTCCAAACATGCGATGATTCAATAAAAAAAGTAAATTAAAAAAAAATAGTAAAAGAACCAATCAGAGCCAACATGACAGAGCCGCTCCAACATGCTGCAGTCATTCTAAAAGATTTTTCAGTGGGTTGCTTTGATCTTTTACGTTTATCAAATCCAATGTGTGCTGTCAAACAAATCAGTTTTAAGCTGACAAACAGAAAATACCATCAGGAGATATATGTGACCACTACCAACATTTTGTTAGGGTTTTTATTGGTCAGACAATCAGAGATATTCTAGAACCTTCAGCACCAACCAGAGAAAGAACCTGGAGAATCCTCAAATTAAGCTACTCGTTACCTTCAAACTACTAAAGAACATTCATGCCCAGGATGGGTTTAGCCGGTAAGCTGCAGCAGGAAGTACGTCACAGAGACAACAAAAGCTAAAGCCTTGAACAAGGAACGTAGCTATTTTCTCTACATTTCCATTTTAAAAAAAAAGACTATAATTATTTAACAAATACGTGAACTGGTTTAGGCTCTTAGTTACCATGGAAATAGTCCCAATGTGACAGATTTCCCCTCTGCTCTGAATGTAGCTAGCAAGAGCTAACGATGTTAGCTTCTGGGTTACTCACAGATAGCGGCAGAGGACGACCGGAGACGGGGGCCTGTACTCATACGGCTCCGTGTTGTTCTCCGCCGGGGCTTCATACTTGGTCAGCTCGGGGAGCTCGCTGGAGGGCAGCGAGGAGGCTCCCTGTGTGGGAGAAGCAGCCGGAGCAGCGGTGGAAGCTGCGGTGCTCGAGTTCTGGGAATGAATTCCTCCCAGACATTGCAACAAAATCGCAGCAAACAGCAGCAGGAACTGTCCGCAGAGCAGGATGTAGCTGACTGAAATCATGGCTCCCCTCATACAGCAGCAGGAATCCACAGAAATTGGCTTCGCATCATCACAGATGTACGAAATAGCTGCTCCTTCTCGGTTGTTTGTCCAGATTATTCTTCCTGTTTTGAGTTTATTGACTTTTGGCGCGTTACCGCCACCAACTGGACTGGAGTGTGAAGTAACCACTTAGACGACTGGTTCGGGCTGGTACATAGAAAGCCTTGAGAAACTAAATACCCTTTGGAAGTTTTCACATTTAGTTTCATAACACACATTACCAAATTCAGTGTTATTTACTGTAATTTCATTTGGTTGGCCAATACAAAGTATTAAAGTATTAAAAATTTTTTAAATTGTTTTGCAAATAAAAATCCTTTAAAACATAGCTGGCAATTATATTCAGCATGTCATTTTCTAGCACATTGAGTTCAGGATTATAGTATCAAGAGTTATTTCCATAGTGATACAGTAGAGCCAATGAAAGGAAGATGTTGTTACTATATGTGTTTTCAACCAGAGTAAAATTAGATGTTCAGACACTGTTCCCACATTTTCCCTTAGTTGATTTAAATAATTAATAAATTATGACACTTTACATAACATGTGAAGTATTGTTATTCATCTTAGATTGCATTTATCCAGATGCTACTAAAAAACAGGAGACTCTCTTGAACAGTTACCATTTGTGGAGATCAGAGCTAACATTTCCTCTGACAGTGATGCATTTGGAGGTGGTGCTTTTGTTTACATGCAACCCAGATATTTCATTCAAACTTTTGTTGTTTCTTCTTTTTTTTTCTTTTCTTTTTATTGCATGTGAGATCATTTGAAAATCAATCAATGGAAACAACCATTTTGAACATGAAGGAGATTACTGTCATTAAGTTCATGCAGCGTCTAAGAGAACGCAGTTCATTTGTCCTCTGAGTCTGCACTGCAGGTGGCGTGGAGGACTGGGACATTACACTATGTTTGGTTCCAGGAGATCAGTCGGAATCTGAGTCAGAGTTCTCCCCCTGCTGGTGACTCTGGCTTGTAGGAGCTGAAGCTGCTTTCCTTTGATGGGAGAACAGATGAGGCTAAAACCGGAGAGGAGAATAAACTCTGTGCAGAACCTCTGGGAGAGGAACTGGGATCCAGTCTGGACTGCATGACCGGGATCTGGTGCCGAACTGACGAACTCATGGGGGAGTACGGGTAGAAGAGAAAGCCTCCGTATGGTGGGAAGTTCATCACATCCTGCACAGTAGAAGTAAAGAAAACATTGTGAAGTGTTTTCAAAGTGGCTTAAAGGTTTTTAATCCACAATTTACAGTTAGATCAGATTAAAACACTGGAAAATGCAAATGTGGAGGGAATTAAAACATCAGTTTTAAAAAGTACACATTTCATTTGCAAATGAATAAATTCTAACTTGATTTAGGCTGCTAATCTTACTTAAAAATTGTTATAAATTATCTGCAGTTTTCAGTTTTTAATCATTATTATCATTTTTGCTTGTATCCAATTTTAGCTAGTTTAGCCCCAGGGCTAATAATGAAGTCAGAGTTGCCAGCTGAGCTCTGTCACTCAGAGGCTGAACCGACGGGGCTGCTGTCCAAACAAAAGGGTTCAAGTCACCTCCAGTGAGCAGATTTCAAAAGGTTATTAAGCTTTTATAACTTGATAACAAACCAATTATTGTTTCGGTTAAGTAGGAACAATGTGACTTTTAAATCAAAAATTGATTTATGTTACCTTTCTATGTAGTTCCTCAGAACCCAGGAAAAATAAACCTTAAAACTATTCAACTCTAACGCTTTAAGGGGGGAGTATTATGTAAAGTCTATTTTTTGAGCTTTACATCATTATAATGTTATTCCCTCATCAAAAACATACCTTGAGTGTTGCTTTGATTCTTTCATGCATATTTGAGAAATCCTTTAATTTCCCATGGCAACCATTCATGGGCGCCTAAAAATTTGATCTCACAAAGCCCCGCCTTCTTACCCCCACCCTTCCACTTATGCACTAAGCTCCTCCAGACTAGCGGCAGCCATTAATGAACACCTGGTGGAGCTGCCCATCTGTTGAGCTCATCATACGAACTACTTTTTAGTCCAAGAACAGTTGTGATCGACATAATGAAGGAGCACTGTTGTGACGACATGCTGAAGGCAGAGTGTCGGAAAGAGGAGGAGCTTCTTAAAGAAACAGAGGCCCTTGTTTGGTATGTGTATCATTTTTATAACAATTGAAGTAAACTTAGTTACTTGATAATAATGATATTTTATAGCACAATGTGTCTGGAAAATATATAATACTGCCCATTTAAATTACGTTTTTGTAAAACATACCATATAAATTTTTACAAATGGCCTTGATTTATTTTTTTATTAGTAAGAGAAAAAAAAGTAATCAGGATACTAATGAGATAAAAAGTAGTATTCTCTATCTGAATTTACTTTGCGAGACAAACATTCTCCCGGACCTGAATGAGGTGCGTGGTGTTTGCTGACCAGGCGTCTGAATGATTACATTGCATTTTGATTTCTAAAGGATCAAATAAATGTAACTGACTCTCCTGAACTGGTCAGCAGACACACAGAGACACAAACCCAGCTTAGCTAACAGTCTTTTTTCAGGAAGCCGGAATACCAGGAGAGAACCAATGTATGCACAGGGAGAACATGCAAATTCCACGCAGAAAGACCCCAGGCTGGAATCTGAACCCAGGACCTCCTTGCTCTAGCAACAGTGCTCTGTCAGATAGTGTTTTAGCTAGATTCTTGTCTCCCCCAGTGAAAGACTTTGGTTGGCTGCCTCGTACCTGGAGCTCTGTGTGCTGCTTGAGGGCGACCGACAGCGGAGTCCCTGCCGGTCTGAAACCACGCCACACGCCTCCATCAGCGGCACATCTGTACCAGCTGTTTACTTGTGTCAAATGGAGGAGACGGCCCGAGGCGTTCACATCCAACAGGTGTCGGTTAAAGTCCGTGGAGTAAACACAGTTGGGTGCAAAGCTGCTGCAGAGTGAGCGCTCTCTGCATGAGTCCTGCGTGCCGTGCGGTACATCAGAGGAGTTTTCTGTGGGGTGGGAGGCCTGCAGAGTCTCTGCTGTGAAGGAAACCCCCGGCTGGTCTCCATGGTAACTTCGAAACAGCTTCGGTTCGGGACACTCCTCACTGTTAAAGCTTTTGTCGCTGTCACTCGTGTAAGAATCTGGTGGGAATAAAGGCAGCGGTTAGGGAAAGTCTCACAAACTGACGGAAAGCTTTCCGCACCTGAAGACCTGACGTCACCGCAGTCAGCTGCCGGAGCACGCTTCCCGTCCGCCTCTCTGCACCTTCGTCCAGACTGCTGGAGCTTCCTGATGAAGCAAAAAAAAAATAAATAAATAAAAAAAATTATATATATATATTTTTTTTTTTTTAATTTTTTTTATTTTTTTTTGTGATATAAAAGTTAAAGGATTTTAAAATCTGCAATCAGTCAGAGGTTAAACATGAAGCTTATTACCTACTTTAAATAATTCAGTTCAAATAATTCCAGAGGGATTTATTTGCAAAAAAGGAATAAATAAAGCAAACAAAAGAAAATATTTTATTTCAATGAATGAAAGAATGTATACATCTTTGATTAAAAGAGTAACAGTGCTTTGTAATATTACTCAAGTAAAAGTACAACGTATTAAGAAGTAAAAAATCTCCTAAATGTGCATTTTGTCCATTTCTATTGTTTTTTTTTTGTTTTTTACCGTTACCTATGTCTATCATTTGCTTTGGAAGCTATGCTGACTGCTTCTTACAGTAAATTATTCTCTACTGTGTTCAATGAAGTATTGCAAATTAATTATTTACATCATTCCATTAAAATGAAATAGTGCTGCACAGATTATAGCTGAATTTTAATAGGCAAGACCTCACTTCTATATTTTAGGCAAATATAGATATATTTTTCCATCCATCAGTCTTCAGACTGAGGAACTAATCCCTTCCAGGTTCATAGGTCAACTCCAGTCTGCGTGTAAATATCTAACGCTGCAGCTGCACTGCATCTCCATCTCCATCTCACCTCTTCTCTCTCCGTCCGTTCCCCGTGTCCCGGAATCCTTTTGCAAAAGGGTTGTTGTCAATTTTCAGCTGTGTGATCTGTTTATATGTAAAATGCAGACACGTCTTTAAATATGATGTAATTATGATGATTAAGTTGTGCAACCAAAATTCCAATGAAGGTGGGGTGTAAAAAAACCCCCAAAAAACCCAGAATATTATTCAATTGACAGACAAGGTATATAATGTTCACATATTTGGAAACGGATGGAAAATGGCTGACGAGTCCAGACTCTCACCTTGTCGTTCTGGTACGCCGTCACTGCGATGAATTGCGTCTCAGCGAACACGTAGGTCCTGAAGGTGCTGCATGGAAGCTTCAGGATGTCATTGGCTTTCACTATATGAAACCTCGGCTGGTATTTGTGCATCGAGTTCAGAATTGTCTGTGCAAGACAGATGAAGAACAAATCAAATCAGTACAGTTTTGTGGGACCTTTTGTCAAGATCTTTGTTTTACTTTTTTTTATTTGTTTCATTATTTTTTGCGTTCCTTGGTGTCTTATTTCTATTAGTTCTGCCTTTTTCCACTTTTACTCCAGTTCCTTCTCAATGATTCTAGTTATGTTTATTTCTTGTATCTTGTCCTTTCTTAGTCACTCTAGTCTTAATAGGATTCTTATGTCTAGTCAAGGAGAAGCATTCAGCTTCTATGCAGAACAAATCTGGGACAAACTTCCAGAAAACTGTAAAACAGCTGAAACACTGACGTCCTTTAAATCTCGACTAAAAACCCACCTGTTTAGAGTTGTATGTGTAACGTAATCAATTACGAATTTAATGATGGTGTTTTGACTCAATGTCATGTTTTGATTGTTGATTCTATGTTGCATGACTTTGTGATTTTGTGTTTGTTATGATGTAAAGCACTTTGAAATGCCTTGCTGCTGAAATGCTATACAAATAAAATTTGACTGATTGATTGATCGATTGATTGCTATTTTAATTATGTTTGTTCCATTTTCAGTTATATTTTGTAAGATTTATTCCCAGTGTGATCTCTTGCCACATGTCACTTCCTGTTTCTCTCTCTCTCCCCTCACACCTGCATCCTGTTTGCTCATCATCCCAGGTCTACTGTTCCATCATTCACTCTCCCAGTATTTAATCACATCTCCTTAATTTGCTCCTCGCTGGTTCCTCCTGCTACTTCTTCTCTTATTTCTCCCCATATCTCCTCGCTGGCTTTTCGTTGTGGATTACATTTTATTCGACTCCGGCTTCCTGTGCTCCACGTGTTTTTTATATGTTTGGTATTTACTTTTCAATATAATATTTTACCTTTCATTAAATTAAATACTTTTAATTTGTTCTTTATGGCCACTCCACTCCCCGCTTCCTCTGCATTTGGGTCCAACATAAACCATTAAAAACATGACACCTTTTTCATTTTGAAAACATTGCTTTCAAAATGTCTGTAAGTCTTTTGGAGTAATTGTAAGCAGTCAGATTTAATAAATTAGAATACATGTATAATGCCACGTTTGTCAGATTATAAGTACCTTTTAAAAATGAACTTTAAGCAGTTGTTAAACATACTTTTCACCAAGTCCACATTTCTGTTTGAAAAATATTTTGTTATTGGTCTGATGTGATATTCTGATTTTAAATGTCATGCTTTCATTGGGTGTAGGTAAAAAATAATCGCAGCATAAAAAAAGGCTGGAAAACCACAGACTGTGTGTAATTAATCTATATAAAATTTTTCACTTAATGATAAAGTTCCCTATATTAAATGGAACTTTAATGTAGGAAATGGGTTTTCAACAAATAGGTTATGAGTTTTCAATAATATTCAAAATTAATGAATAGCCCTGTAATGTATAATAAAAAATTCCCCTCTCACCCTCCGTGGGTGGTCTCTTTCATCCTCTGAGCTCGGGTCCTCTACCA